ACCACGCCCATTTTGCGCTATAGTTCCGCCCTGTTACGCCTGCCGTGTGGCTGTTCCAGTGCAGTCGCAGACACAGTTGTCCCTTTCATGCAAGGTCGAGTTCTGGTTTTCTTTTTGAAGTTATGGTTTTCTTGTCCTTGTAGTTCTGGTTTTCATCGGTTATATGCAGAGTTTACCTCATTTCAGTCGGTTCTGTTTCAGGCCTCTTTTTCAGGGGCGGCCTCTTTCCAGTCGGGTTTATCCGGAGCCGGGCTTCGGGAGGCCGCGGAAAACCAACTTTGCGACAATGCTGCAGGACTGTATGCCAAATCGGAGGAAATGGCGTATCAGGGCAGGACAACACTTCTTACATAAGGGCAAAGTTTCTTACCCTATCGGACGCGGACAGAACTGGTTTGTGGACATGATGGACTGTGGGCATTATGAACTGCGCACGTTATTAACCGCGGCAATTATGACCCGTGGACATCGTGAATTGTAGACACTATAAACTGTGGACATTCTGGACTGTGTACGTCATGACTTTTGGACATGATTAACTGTGCATTAGGGTGTGTCATCGAGAGGGTGAATCTCCTGGAATCAGCTGAGCCAAATTTTTCCTTAGCACACGGATTAATTATAAACTTTCAGGTCTGTCGCACCGCACCGATGTTGATATCCGTGGGGCGAGAGCAGTTTTTCTTTGATAAGGCCAAGAAAACCGCATTCGATACTGGCGCCGCCTATCTTACGCACTGGGATCCTCCAACATTCTCAACAACAATCCTCCAACAAGCCTCAAAGCTGCCACTTTCCACACTACTGGTACTTGGTGGATTAGGTATAAAATAGATATCACGAAGAGCACCAGCGAAACATTGCCAAACAGCTTTTAAGCTAACTTTTTAGCAAAGAACTTTAATTTTGGTGAGGCCCAAAGCTATGAAGTTATGAGAATGCTCCGGCAGACCGGGTTGGGTTCAAGTTTGTTATTGCTAACGCATCATGGTGATGTTGATTTGCAATTTATACGCTTCTTGCATGGGGGATATGGGTTTATTAGTTTAGTTTTGCCGGTACTGGAACCTTCCTTTCGAACAATTACTTGCGTAAGCTTGCCGAAGGCTACACTGTCGCGCACAAAACATTTTGTGATAGGCCACCCGGCTCTACTGTCCCACCACCAACTGTCGACTACGGGAAAGCATTGAGCTACATCAGGTGGCTGAGCCAGTCGAAGAGGAATATCACTAATACCATCTTCAAGACCGAGACGTTAGAAATCAGGGTACTGTTGGCCAACGAAGTGATCCCTGTTCACAATCTAACATACGTGACAAAATTGATTGAGAGGGATCGATATCATCCCAACAGAGTTATCAGCAAAAAATTAAAGAAAGAAAGAGAGTGACGCAGTAACGTCACCACCGCGAAATTCAAGCTTCTTGATGTCGCAAAATGCAAGTGCAAGCCTCAGTCCAGACAAATGACCCAGTTGCCTGCATAGTGTATCAGGAGAAGGTTGCCATAAAGGACCGGTGCAGGCACCGGAAGCCCACTCAGGGTCATTTGCCCCCAGAGAGGAGGACTAGGGAGGAGGACTATGGAGGCCCGCGAGGTGCGCGGGATGGCCAGACAACTCCAGGGACGTCGTGGCTCGGTTGCCAGTGAGGCGGTGTCTGCTGCTGAACCTGAGTCGCCTTTCCCGCCGACTGCTGAGCCCGCGCCGCCTGCTGAGCCAGCGCTGGCTGATGGTGCTGACCCCGAGCCTCCAGCGCTGGCGAGTCAGTCGAGAGCACGGATTCCTTCACGGTTCCGTACATGGTAGGTGGCGACGGCGGCGATTGTTCGTTCCGGTTGAGACCACCGTCACTGTGGATTATAACGTCAATGATCTGACTAACACCGCTCTGGCGGTTGACAGCTACGGCAGCTCGAACCGGGCCGCTGCTGCTATCATCAACGCATTTCAACAAGACAGCAGAGGCGGACTGGCTACTTGAAATAAAATATCGTAGATCCTAACATTTGCTGCGCAAGAGACAGAGAGAGACAGAGACAGAGACAGAGACAGAGAGACAGAGAGAGAGAGAGAGAGAGAGAGAGAGAGAGAGAGAGAGAGAGAGAGAGAGAGAGAGAGAGAGAGAGAGAGAGAGAGAGAGAGAGAGAGAGAGAGAGAGAGAGAGAGAGAGAGAGAGAGAGAGAGAGAGAGAGAGAGAGAGAGATAAAGAGAGAGATAGGGGACGGCTCGTTAAAATTTTAAAGCAATCCACGAGTCAGGTTTGACCATACTCTACTCCGACGGCCGCGAGGGCACGAGCTACATGAGCCACACGGAGCCAGACGAATGCCGTCGAAAATCACGTGGTTGTCATCGCTGAGCCAGGCACCCGCTACGTGACTCATTTTACGTCCGAGTTCGGCCGCGCCCTGCACTTGTTCAACAAGCTACAATCTGTGAGCCCGTAGTGCGACGGTCACATCGATGTGCTCGGCTGCAATGGCACGGCTGTCAATACCGAAACGATAGGCGACGTGTTCCGGCTGCTTGAGCTGGCCACCGAGTCACCCATACGCTGGTTCATCTGCCAGCTGCCCGGCAACGAGATGAACCTCCTCCATCTGCTGCTGAGCTTGGACGGCACGACCACGGAATCGAAATTTTCCTGAACCCAGCGGCAAGACCTGTGCCGGAGAGGTCTGGGAGAGGGACGTTGTGACATTCAAGCCTAGGTCGGGGCACGTGCCAAACCCTGCCGGTCGACCTGATTCAGCAGCTGAGCACCAACCATCAGCTGCTGTACCTTCTGGCCTCCGGCGTTCAAAACGGCTCTGTCCGAAACGTGGCAGCCCAGCGGCGAATCGGACCATCGATCCATGTCAGGTAAATATGAACACGCATTATCTTCGAACTTATAGCAATGGGTGTTTAAAGTTCATCAAGTATCAATGGATATTTCATGTGTTCACTGCTGAGCAATTGCTTATTATCATACCTTGTGCCGTAGAATGTATGTCGCATCATTTGCTGGTTTGTTCATACTTACTAGCATATTTGTTCATATGTATTCCGTCCATTTAAGGACTTTGGATATCGGCATGATTGCATACACTAAAGAGGCGCAATATTTTTTGTATGATCTGATACTCAGTTCCCAGCGAATTGTCCTAGCATATTCGCTTTTGTTTTCAGATGGTTGGCACTGGCTGCTCGTCTGCTCCTTATTCACGTCTCTACCGAGACCTCCAGCAGCGCTCTCAGGACCTCGTCCAGTGCGTGGTCGGCCATGATGTGTCGGTATGGTCCGCCGTACGGCAAACAGCGGCTGCGACTTTGGCTTGCCCAACTTATTTCGGAGCATCGCGCTGCTCCGCGACCTGCCGCAGCACACGTAGGCCACGGTGCAGCCAGTCCTCCAGCGTAACGGGTGCTGGGTCCGTCCGGAACAGTTGCTGCTGGACATGGTGTGGGATGAGAACCGCGTGGTCCGTGGACAGGTGGTTCCAATCGTTGCGCCGCTCGTGAGCAGCAAACCGAGGGTCTTCTTCAGCCCAGGGTCTTCGCCATCTCAGCGGTGAACTTCGAGGCCGTGAGGTGCACCGAACTGATTCCCTGGCACCGACCAGTCGCACAGACTCCACTGCGAGACCTCAGCGTCTGCGGGCTGCGGAACAAAGTGCAGGCACCTCTGGCCATCTTGCCCTATCTGGTTCACACTATGAGTGCGACGCAGCGCCGCACTGCCGAGGACGCCTGCGGCTGGAGTTGGAGCTTCGGCATAATGTGGAGCCCAGCTGCGAAGGTATTTCTTCTACCGTGCGATCTCTGCCAACACTTGTTTTGGGTCTCCAGTTTACGAGCAATTGCTGTTTGGGCCGGTGCACCGAATACACAGGCTCGACAAGGAACAAGATGGGGTTACGGTACTGCCCCTCCCCCTCCCTCTCTACGTCCGTGGTACAGGCTGCAGAACTTGCTGTATGTATAAGTTGTATACCAGACAATATATTCTGAGTCGTATGCCTTACATAGTTTTGTTTGCATCACGTGAGCTGTCTTAGGGAGCTGAAAGTCTAAAGCAATACTAACCAGCATACTCGTACAACGAGTGCATACTCAACAGAACATCAAGTTCCCGCCAAATGGCAATCAATCTGGCAGTCTGATCCGCATATCAGACCTTAGACCGGGACATGCTCGTATGGCGGCTTAAGGAGCATTCGGTAGCATTGTTTCTATACGCAAAGGTATTTTGGGTCGTTTGCCGCCCACGGCTTGGTGTTAACTGCACTGGCGGACTCTACCCAGCATGGGGCGACTGCAACGCCGGGCGTCGGTTTACGGAGATGTTTCGATGGACTCGCGCCTCACGAATATAAGTTTTGGGGAAGAACTTTTGCTATGCCGTGTACTTTTCGACTCCTGCTCCAAATAATTTCCTTGTCTCACCTGGTTTTGTCACTGATGACACACCCTACCTGTACATATAAACCATCGACATTCACTTCAAAATACCTCCCTGAAATGGGTCCGCACCGGTGGGTGCTCGCAGTTTCATAAAGCACGCACAGGTTCACCTGCCCTACCTCACCAACCTCCGACACAGTTGCTCAAAGAACAGCGTGCTCCGTCCTGCGGCCGACCTGCGTACCCCTCCCCTTCTCCCACCCAGTCTTAAAACGCCGCGGAGACCGGGGCCGCACACCTCCGCGAACAAGGGCCAGCTGATGGCGCGAAAGATTGACGCTTTTACTTCGGCGTTATGCTGAGGCGCTTACGTTACAGCTCTCTGTGACAAAGTTCCGTGATGAAAGTTGCCGTACTTTTTCGTGTTTGAGAAAGGATCAAACAAAAAGCAAAAAGCAGCAAACAGTGGCGGTCCTCGGCCTGACCAGGGATAACCGTCAGTGTGAAGGTATCGCTATTGGAAGTCAGAGGCTACTTCACCGGGCGCAGTCCGGATTCAGAAACAACTTAGATCGCCTCTCCTGTCCCTCATACGTATTGCACAGCTATCATGACTCAGACCTTGCCCGACATAACCGCCAGCGAGGTGGCATCGCTGTTGGAGGTAAGAGACACCTTCATTGGTCGCAGTTCGAATTCGTGAATACGTTAGAATGCCTCTTCTGTCCCTGTCACACAACCGTTGATTTATGTTACAGGTCCAAGCAGTCGGCTTTTGGACGCATCGAGCTATCGTGTGTGATATTTTACCCTCTCCATTTCAGCATTTGTCGTATGCACCCCGGTCTTTCCGATCTCATCGACATTTCTTAGCCCGATTTATAGTTTATTTACTTCCGCGATGGCGTCTACAGCCATCTGTATTTTGTTCACGGACTCATGTATTTATGGACTCCAGGACCGAGTCCGAGCGCGACTACATCCAGCTTCTTTAGCAACAAATGAACATCGTCGGATTCGTGCTAGAAATGCTATATGCATACCTCTTCTTTATTTCAGTTACTTCAGGCTTGATGTCGTCCATAACTCAGCTTACCCGTTTGCCTCAATTCCGAGACACTCACTATCACCCCGTTTTACATTGTAATCGTTTCATTTTGCACATATTAATCCATTACGTGTTAATGCAGTGCTCAATACTATGTGTCAAACCTGACGGAAGAGCCATAGCTTAGCTGGTAGCGAACACGAGCGGTAAAACACGCCACCATGACATTGTACGTCCGGTAACTAATAGGATGAGATTGTTATTAGTTGAGCTGCAGGTGCTTCGCGCACATCATTGTACATCCGGTAACTGATAGGATGAGATTGTTATTAATTGAGCTGCAGGTGCTTCGCACACATGATTGTCCATCCGGTAACTAATAGGATGAGATTGTTACTAGTTGAGCTGCAGGTGCTTCGCGCACATGATTGTACATCCGGTAACTAATAGGATGAGATTGTTATTAGTTGAGCTGCAGGTGCCTCGCGCACATGATTGTACATCCGGTAACTGATAGGATGAGATTGTTATTAGTTGAGCTGCAGGTGCTTCGCGCACATGATTGTACGTCCGGTAACTGATAGGATGAGATTGTTATTAGTTGAGCTGCAGGTGCTTCGCGCACATGACTGTACATCCGGTAACTAATAGGATGAGATTGTTATTAGTTGAGCTGCAGGTGCTTCGCGCACATGATTGAACATCCGGTAACTGATGGGATGAGATTGTTATTAGTTGAGGTGCAGGTGCTTCGCGCACATGATTGAACATCCGGTAACTGATGGGATGAGATTGTTATTAGTTGAGCTGCAGGTGCTTCGCGCACATGATTGTACATCCGGTAACTAATAGGATGAGATCGTTATTAGTTGAGCTGCAGGTGCTTCGCGCACATGATTGTACATCCGGTAACTAATAGCATGAGATCGTTATTAGTTGAGCTGCAGGTGCTTCGCGCACATGATTGTACATCCGGTAACTAATAGGATGAGATTGTTATTAGTTGAGCTGCAGGTGCTTCGCACACATGATTGTTCATCCGGTGGACTAATAGGATGAGATTGTTATTAGTTGAGCTGCAGGTGTTTCGCGCACAAGTTTGCGCAAGGTTTCCCCGTTGGTAGAAGTGCTTGTGGCGGTTGAAACGAAGCATGGCGCAATCAGCATTCAGTCACGTTCGAAGCTTAATAAGGACTTTTTGCCGGGCCACAACCCTTAAAGATATCAAGTGGGATGCCGAACGCTTTCCAGGAATTCGCCACGTACAAGGCTTAAGAAGCTTAATAAGAGCTTCTTGCCGAGCCACAACTCTTTAAAATATCAAGTGGGATGCCGAACGCTTTCCAGAATTCGCCACGTACAAGGCTTAAGAAGCTTAATAAGAGCTTCTTGCCGAGCCACAACTCTTTAAAATATCGAGTAGGATGCCGAACGCTTTCCAGAGTTCGACACGTACAAAGCTTAAGAAGCTTAATGACAACTTCTTGCCCAGTCACAATCCTTCAAAATATCAAGTAGGATGCTGAACGCTTTCCAGAATTCGCCACGTACAAAGCTCAAGAAGCTTAATAAGAACTTTTTGCCCAGCCACAACCCTTCAAAATATCAAGTAGGATGCCGAACGCCTTCCAAAGTTCGCCACGCACAAAAATGGAACGCAAGCTGCGCTCATTTCTGTGAGTTTTGCGACGGATTTATACACGAATAGCTGTTCTTGGTTTTCTGCAGGCGATTTCACGACTCCATCAACATTTTTCAAGACCACAGACGGCTCACATCGCAAAATTGGTTTCCGGCAAACTTTTGGCACAATGGGCCTTCCGCCATAGGCCTGGTCGCCTGGCAACATCTGGCAATCGTCGACGCCACCTGACAACACGCGACGGGGACGGAATTATCAGCTGAGTGCGCAGCGCCGTGCGCGCGGATTTATTCCGGCGGATGTAAAAACGCTGCTGATGGAGAAATTCGCTGCAAAGCTACCAATTAAGAGAAGCTTTCTTGCTGGGCTGCTAAGTCCACGAAATACCAAACGTAAACGGCATGCACCACTACGGGTTCGTGACTGGTGCGCGGTGGCAGCATAGTCGGCCTTTGAGTCAACTCGAGGATCAGAAGGCAGCGATGCTGAGCGAGGTGAGCGAATAGCACATAGTCAAACTTCGAATTCTTCCAAGTGTATGCCTCTAGTCAGATTACCATCTTGGATCTCCTCAAACTAAGTGCTTGGAGTTTGGCATAAATGGCGCTCTTGCCAGTCACGGTCAAAAATGATAAGGAACAGAGAAGAGAGCAGAGACGAAATAGCACGCGGTGACTCCTAGATGACTCGTCAAAAACAACACTGCACAGACTATATGGGTGTGGTCAGGGGTGTCGGAATCTAGTCGGAACTGGACCTGGCATTCCCATGGTGAGGTCGCCATGGGAATGCCCCAGGGCATTTACGCGTTGAAGGGCACCGCAATGCGTGTTTTTTTAATGATCGTTTTCGAATACTTCTGAGCCGTCCACTCCTACGAAATAAGTCTCAAGACATTTACCAGTCTGTCTCCTAGCCATATCCGGGGTTAAAACAGCTGTGGCCGGTCAAATATTCCAACACCAGCCCGTGTCCCCTTACCATGTTTTACATCCAATAAGGGCAACTTTTACAAACGTAAGAGATTATTATCACCCTTACTGTCACGAAGCGTTTCTTACCGCGACCCAGATGCGGACTACTTCAAACTGAAGGCGGCACCGGTTACATTCAATGTAAACATGCTCCCGGGTGGCCGGCTGGGTACCCTTCACTCGGGCAGGGGGTCAATCTGACCCCCCTGAAATCTCAGGAACTAAGAGAGCTAGAGACATCAAATTCACAGGGTGTATTGACCTGTATGTGATCTCATTTAAGTCAAAGTTTAAGGTTTTTCGCCTACGATCCGCCATTCAATTGTCTGCAGGTTTGCAAAATTTGGCGCGGCTACACCGCGTCGTTCAGATACCATTCCGGAAAAAACATTGCGGGGAGGGGGTAAATTTGACTCCCCACCCGAGCGCGTGTTAAGAGAGGCAATAGGGGTGTTGCTATATATATATATATATATATATATATATATATATATATATATATATATATATGGTACCCCTACGAGAAATGTTTCTTTTCCTCTTTCAGCTTTACGTGTGCTGTCGTTGCCAACATTCCCCATCTATAGCACTGCAGTGGCGGCATGGCATAGGTTAGAGCACTGTTGCACTGAAATTACTGTCGCAATACTTGAGCAAGGTCTTGTCACAAGATACATCAATTATTTCAATCAACTTTTTTTATTACAAAGCAATTTGATCTAAGCACCAGGGTGTGTTCCATATATGCCTACGTAGGCGGCTCGTAATGCACTTCACACCGTCTGAAAGCTCCTCATTTCTTAATCCCTGAAGCCGCCTTCGCGGTGCTGTTTTTGCTATGTCGCTATAAGCATGCTCATCTTGTAGCTCTTATTTACCGTAAGTAGTATCGGTTACTCCTGTTAACACAAGGCTGTGCTCACGATTTCGAAGAGGTCCCGTCATTGCATGATCGCCAAATGTCATCGGTAGTCTGTCGCCACACCGAACCAAAGAGGTTTGCCCCTGGGTCTACCTGTAACCGAAGTCTTCTGCAATGCTTTAAAAAATATGTGTAGGAATCTTAGCCCATAGCCTAAGCTGTGTGTAAGAAGCCGGGGGTTATCCAGGCCCGGAGGAGGGCTGGAGGCGGTGAAGCAGTTTCGTTGCATGAGGGTGGGGCTGTGCTACGTTCCGCTGCCAACGGCTATGCGAGCGTCAAGTGGCAACTGTCTGGCAAGGGTCCGTCTGCAGGTTGATCTCGAAAAACGACATCTGTATGCGTAAGCTGAGCCATGATATGTTTACTCTTCCATTTTCACCATCAGATTCCAGCACTATTTTGTGGAGCTGTATACGCTTGTTCGCCCTCATTTTCAATCCAAAACATATCCCAGGTGATATATATATATATATATATATATATATATATATATACATATATATGTATATATTTTTCGTAGCTCACTGAGCGCGATATTATACCGCTGCCACCGTGGTCTGCAGAAAAGAACGCTGTAAGATCCGTAAAATCCGTAGAAAATAGAGACTACAAATAGAGACAAACTATCGGCGAACTTGAGCTTGAACTTGAGCTTGAACGAGCGAACTTGAGCGAACTTGTACTTGAGCTATTGGCGAAGTGTTCGTTTGATTATTTTTGTGGCAATAGTCTAATCACTGTGTCTTTGTAGCGTTCCCATTATGAGCGCTTCTTACATGCATAAAAGTGAAAATAGGATTCTGTCTTACTTCAATTAGTTATGCTTCATTTATCTTCTCCGGACCAAAATATGTTTTCCAATAGGAGTGCGCAATTTTCAATCTTTTAAAACTCAAAACATATTTATTGTGCCCTTTGGTCTTCTCCGACGATGAGATGGGATCTCGAAACGTTAGAATGGAAGGAACGATGAATATATGAGTAATTTTGTGCGAACCATCTTTAAGCGATGATGCCCAGTCGATGGCCCGGAAACAAGAACGATGCATCAAAAAGCTCGTCAATACTGAGCCGGCAGTTATTTTTAGTCAGGCATACACACACATGTATATATATATATATATATATACATATACATATATATATATATGTATATATATACGTATACACTAGATCTTTTTCCAGATCAAATGAGATGAAGCGTCACCTTGGTGACCGCCCCACAACTTCGAGAAGAGAGAGGTCCAAATCCGACGAGGAACCCATTTATTGGTAGTTTTTGTGGGGTAGGTTGAATCATTGGACTCTGCTGGCCCCTCTATCCACTTTGCGAACATATATCCCTGCGCTGGGCTGTTTTCCAGCTTAAAAACCGGTGATGATTCCATGGATTTATTTGACCGCTCGCACCTGCTGGTGACTTCTTGCCTACGTGTGGTCCGTAATTCACCCCTAGTGTGTCAGGCAATGGTTTTGAATTGATTGCACCACGCTTGCGATGTATTTTCAGGCGGTCATGCTTAACTAGACCAATGTTTCAATATACGCGACGTGGCAGTTTCGCACGGCTCGTTTGGCTGCACCACAACGTTATGCAGACATTTGCGTATTTTGGAGCATATTTACTAAATAGAGAAATGTGCTGTGTAAAGCAGTCGTTTCCACTTAAAACTATACCAACAGTCACAAGCTTTTTACCATATCTGATGCTTGCTTAAACATTTTCAAACGTGGAACATTTTCTTGTGATCAGACCTTTATGCTCATCGGCTTGCATCCCGTTTGGCTTTTTGTCCTTCGACTGTTTTCCTATTTCCACTTTTACCGCCGTCAACTCCTTTTCCATTCAACCATTTAATTCGACTTTTGTATTCAGCTTTTTGTCTGGGAATCATCTTTGTATGCTTTCGCTGGGTACGTGTCAGCGAAAGTTTTCGGCGAAACTTTTTAGCTCGTCACATTGCTGTTTCTATTTCTATTCAGCTACTGCAACTTTGGTGGACCGAAGTTATCTGGTCGTTCTGCAGTTTCACGACATTTTTCGCCTCATAGTGCGTAATCCTTGGATCCACTTATCGGGACCCGAACCCACATCTCTGGGATGCCGATCCAGCATGCTATCGCCGAGCTTTCTCGATCGGCATTCCAGAGATCCGAGTTCGAGTCCCGGTGGGTGGCCGCACATTGTCCGCGCTATCTGGCGAAGAATAGTGCCAAAGCTGCTGAAGAGGGGGCGGATAATCACGGCCCTTCAAAGCTGCGCATCGGGCGAATAATCCTGGCCCTTCGAAGCTGCGGATCGGGCGGATAATCCCGGCCTGTTGAAGCTGCGGATCGGGCGGAGAATCCCAGCCCTTCGAAGCTGCGGATCGGGCGGAGAACTCTGGTTCACTGCAGCTGGAGTAGCTGGATAAAAACAAGGAAACCTTTCGGCTTAGCCACCAATGCTTGGAAGGCTTAGCACACTACCGGTTAACTGCCAAATTGGATATCACGAGGTGAGATTCGGAATAATTGGAGCACTGGCGATGTTCGTGTATTTTTTCTCAGGTTGTGATGTCCTTGGTAAATATTTTTCAATCTAATACAAGCTTTATGCCCCAAAACTGGACATCTTTGATTGAACTCGCCGCGTATAGGAGTCAATCCTTTCTCCCAATCCTATATCAATCCTATCTCCTATCTCCCAATGTGCATATTAGTTCATGAAAACCTATGAGCATTTTCAGACTGACCTAACATATAAGGAATCGGCATGACAGAAGTCATCAAGTACCTACAGCCTACTATGTGGTACACAATAATCATGAAACTACAACAGCGACGTCTTCAGGTACCTAGTGCAACAGCAGTTCAAGGATATTTTGTACATTTCCTTGTCCAAGTTTTCACGAGGGAAGTACGCTGGTGACACTGGCAACAGTGGTAACACAGCTCCAAGGAGGCGCTGCGTTACAGGAGGTCGCACAGCTCCACGGGAGGAGCTGTGTCACCACTGGGGAGGCTAGGGACCCCGAAGGCATCATAAAGGGACGCCCCTGAATGGTGGTGAGTGATCTGGTTGCTCCGCCAACAGATGAGCTCCGCCTGTCAAGCCGGGCTTCTGCTCGGCTTCTCTCTTCTGCTGGTCTTGCTCTGTCCGGCCTCGGCCGGCCCGTGGATCGACCTCAGCCACACATACGACAAGGCCACACAGTACTGGCCGGGCTTACTCAAGTTCAACCTGAGCGAAGTGTTCAAGGGCCAGTTGGACGGCTACTGGTGAGTGGTTCGTGCTCAAGTTAGCGCAGCCGTTATGGTGTGGGGGCTGTCTCCATGATGATTGCCAGATGTCTGTGATTGAACTGCGCATGATTTAAATCGATTCTTACTCAAAACGATTGGCGCCTGGAATCACGATTCCAAAGTTGGCTAGTTGTTAGAAGCTGGCCTAGACGTTAGAAAGTTAGGTATGAAATTAATCTATTTTATGAACTGTAGCTTTCTATGAAAGGCTCGGTTGTTCCGCTTTCTGACATGGCTCTTAAACATTTATTTTTTGGGTCTTTTCCCTGTTTTTTATTCATATCGTTAAGGTTCTAGCAGACCTTTGTTTTTCTTAGACGCTTAGAAATGGGATTACCTGCACAGCGCTGTGGCTACGCGCAAACTGATATGCGTGGTGCCGGCAATTCATGTCAGTTTCCATTGATTGTAAGAGATGCTGTGCGTGTTACTTCCGCCCAGTGCCATCAGCCATTGAACATATTATTCCGTATGAAACTTCGTCGGTGCTGATAACCTGAAATTGGCTCAATGCTAACCGTAATAGATTTGGTCACTGCTTATGATAAGCTTACCAGAATCAAATCTTATTTCAATCTCAATCACGTAAAATGCAAGAGAGTGGGGCAAACCTTTATTTATCCGAGTTTCAAACAACTCTGTATCTCATTCTGAAGGCAAATCGAATCTAGGGAATGTCTGGAAATCTGTCCTCTGCTCCTTGTCAGTTCTTTTTTGGGCTGGAGGTGGAGGTGGAGGTGGTGCTGTATCGATCACTGCTCAGTTGGAAAAACAATTTTGTGCGTTTGCTCGAAGCAGCAGTAGAACATGGGATGAATAGAGCTTGCCATGATTTTGTGAGGTTCGAAACGCCAATACTTTCGACCCTGAACATGCTATCTACGGACGCCGTTGAGAAATAGTTGCCTCGAGATCAGGATACGCCCGCTTATTCCCTGTCTGGCGGCTGCGTTCGCCTTCTCAGGTACAAGGTGGTGGATGACACATGTGAACGTTGTGGCCTTCCACAGCCCAGTGCAAATCTGCTAGTGAGGTATGTTCGTCCAACAAATTTCTACCCTTGGATCATTTCCTACCGTCGAACAACCCAGTCGCTGTCATTTACCTGCTGCCGATGCTGACATGGCGCGGCGGACAAACGGTCCAATAGGCGATAAGTGAAATTGTCGTCGAAATGTGGGAATTTCGCACATGTGGAAATTTGCGTGTAAATATTCCGCTTGTCGATACTCCGTGTCTCGCTTTTTTGTCGCCTATTTAGCAAGCTGCGATGTGCCGTGCCAATTTCGATATTTAGTATGTAGATATTTTAGCCTCTCATCATTTGCCATGGACATGCAAAGTTATCGAAACCATCAAGAACTCGCATTCGTGCCCGAGTGTAGGGCGCGGCATATGCGGTGGGATGTAACGCCACAACATCTGCAACACTCCAACAGCCATTAAGGCCGACCTCATCAACTGGCCCTGCCTTGTGGACACGGCGCAATTATTCTCCAAACCAAGTTAAGCCGACACAGAATGCAGCAACAAAATGCGTTTACATAAAATGAATTAAATAAATGCACAAAATGAGTGCCGGCCTCCGTTGCGACGTCCTCATTCGGTATGAAAAAACTCAACGGGCCGTATCTTCGAAGCGTAAGTTGATAGCTCGACTCACCTGCTCCTCAGCAGTCGCCGGACAGCCAAGGACAGTTCTTCAACACAAGTCCTGAGCGTCCGGCAGTGCCTCCTCCGCGTGTGTAAGGTGTGGCGCCTCCTCCACGTGTGTGAAGTGTGGCACCTCCTCCACGTGTGCAAAGTGTGGCGCCTCTTCCAAGTGTGTGAAGTGTGGCACCTTCTCCACGTGCAGCAAGTGTTGCGCCTCCTGCACGCGTGTGAAGCGTGGCGCCTGCTCCACGTGCGTGAAGTGTGAGAGGCGGTGTTACTGCCCAGCCCGGAAAGCATTGGACCGTCCCGCCGCAGACGTGAGGTCGGCACCCGTCCTGAGCAGTGTCCGCGGTCGGCTGACACTGCCACACAGCCGCCGTAACCACGTCCCGCCGCGCACCCCCTGAACCAAACCGGATCGTTCACGTGCGGTCCCCTGCCGCCCCCGGCAGGCTGGAGTTGCACAACTTCGAGACCGCGGAGCATGGCGGCACCCATATGGACGCGCCCATGCATTTCTCCAGGGGCGCCTGGACCATGGACCAGATCCCTGTCGAACGTTTTGTGGCACACGGTAAGCATGTGAGCGTCATGTGCTAACTCCGGACACTTTACGAAGGCCCAGAGTTTTTTTTTTAACGGCGTGGAATGCTTTGACTCCCCCGGTTGCGTAGAAGCTGGCTTAAACCATGCTGCTCGTTGTAACTAGCTTTTCAGCATGGTGCAACTGCGCTCAGAAATGATAGCTGGAAGCTTCATTAAGTCATAGTCTGTCCTACACAATTCATTAATTCTTTAAACATATTTGCAACATCTCGTACAATACATTCGCACGCGAGAACTAACTGTAGTCGGCCATGTCGAGCTCTCGCCCCACGTTCAGCGACCGAGGACGCTGGCAGGAGCCCCTAGGAAATCACCTGCTGACTGACTCCCACAAAACAAAGAATGTGACCCGCAGTGACGAACATGGGATTGTGAACCCCTCTTGTGCTGAGCTTTGCACTAGCTTGTCCAAGTCCAGCACTGTTCTGGGGAATATGTGATACAAAGTTGCGTTCAGCTTGTCATTCTCACCTCTCTTTTTACCATACATATCGGCGTGCTTGTTGGGAGCACCTGTGCCATCCCAATAAATGCACTGTGCTCACCAGAACATTGTATTTAAGTGCCGGCTCAAACAAGACATTCCGGTTACTTTCAAACCCTTACGGGTAGCAAGTTACAACACTTTCCTCTGGCTCGTCTGGTGCATTTCTTCTCCAAGCCTTCGCTCTTTACAGTGCAATGGTCACGCAATATCTGGAGTAAAAGGGCGCTTTCAAAAACACCCGCACTTAAGTTGTACTCGAATAACCGTAGCACGTAAGGCGGTGGTATCATCTTGCATGGGTCAAGAACAAAGTAATAAAGTTGTTTTCTGGAATTCTGGAGTTGGAATTTTCCCCTTTAGAATCCCATCTTTCGTCATGTTCTGGACGCATAATAATGCAACGTCAAGTCATTTAGCATACAGGTCTGTATTGACTGGTAACGGATCTGGCCAATTCGATGGCTCTGGGCTGCCACTCTCCAAATCGTCACTGCAGTCCCCGCTTGACTGCCGCTTCTAGCATGCCCCGCGTAAGGTCCAGTCATCTCGTCTAGCAGACGCGCTGTGAGTAGGCCTGTAGTGCCTTGTCCTTCCTTGGCGATGCTTTGACATTAACGATAGTTCACAGTTGAACCTTGCGCGTACTATAACTGATAATCTGGAGTTGGGTGATGTCAGTGTTGCCATGATAAAGATCGCCGAAAACGCACAGTGTGTTGAAAACGCTAACCACCTCGATCACCTGATGCTGATGTGCTTCAATTTATTTACTTCAGCAGGTAAAGCCAAAAGCATGTTTGTGTTGCCCATGCATTGGGACTGTTCGTGTTGTGATTATTTTAGGCCTGTTGGGACTGTTGTTGTCTGTGTGAACGGTGCTACCACTCCGTTGGCTCAGACAAGACTGGGACCTCGTTTAGGTTCCGGGGAAAGAACAGAGTTCACATGTCATTAGCATAAGGCGCCAGCGCCTTCATAGTGCTCTGTCTCACTCTGATGCCCTTTATTCCAGCGGCTCTGGTCAACATCTCCGCCCGGAGTGGTGCTGACCCTGACACGACCTTGACCCCGGCCGACCTGATCGCCTGGAAGGAGGCGCACGGCAACTGGCGCTACCCCACCATCCTGCTGGTGTATACCGGCTACGCTCACCACTGGGGCAACAGCACGCGCTACTGGGGTGTGACGCCCGAGAAGTTCAAGACGCAGAAAGCAGTGAATGGTCATGACCTTCACTTCCCCGGTCAGTGTGGAGGCAGGACGAGGGGGGGGGGAGAGGGCTAGCCGCCTTAAGAAGCCGTGACCGCAGCTGGAAGCTCTCGTGTAGTCCTAATCCTGATACGTACGGCACGTAAGAATGGGGGAAAAGCGAAACCGTGGTTACCCTTAAGTCGCCTCTTTGATCGTGTTCCCGGGTGTAACGTCAGTGGGTATCCGCAGGTGTAAGTTCAAGCTGTGAACATGTCCGTGTCTCGGATATGACGTCAGTTGGTACCCGCAGGCCCAAGCTCAGGCTGTGAGCATGCCCGTGTGTCGGATGTGACGTCAGTGGGTACCCGCAGACGTGAGCTCAGGGGGTAAGCATGTCGGTGTCTCGGATATGACGTCAGCACGCCGTTGTCCGTTAGCATGA